ACCCCTGTCTCTAAAGCCTCGGAGAAAAGCTTACTTCCAATGACTGGCGTGCACAGATCGCGCCACATCGCCGATGCATCGGCGATGCATCGGCGAGGCGGAGCAATCCTCTGACCCCATCTACTCCGAACCCATCGACGAGGTCATCCAGGAATCCAGAAACCAGAAAAAAAACAAACATAAACTTTTCGCGCTCCGCATTGGATTTCTTGGAGCCGCGCTGGACCCCCGCCCTGGCGCGCAGAACGCGCCGGGGGCGGCGCCGGAGGCGCCGCTGGGGGACCCAGCGCGGATCCAAAAGAAATCCGCGCGGAGCGCCAGAAGTTCATGTTTGTAGCGTTTCTTCTTCAGAGAGGGCAGAAAATCCACCCCGACAATAACCACCCCGACACGCGAAGCCGTTTAGTAAGCGCACCCACTGAAGGAACCGAACAGGGCAGGGCTGTCTAGTGAACGCCCAAGGCTGCTCAGTAAGCGCCAATTGTCCGGTCTTTTCCTCCCTTGACTCCTCTTCTGGCCATCGCTCGGACGTCCATTCCCTGTGTTTTTTTCGGTTTCGTGCGTGGCTTTTCCGCCAAATGATCAAGGATGCTCCTCGATGGTCCTCGCCGAAGGAAACGCCCGGCCAGCGGCCGAGGCCACGATCCTGGAGGAGATGATGGGCAATACGTCCGGTCGGCGGCGCGCCCAGGGGGGGGGCCAGAGAGTCAGAGGAGGAACGCGCGCATGCCGACATGCCGCTGCCCTCCCCTGGTCACCACGGTTGGATTCGCCTTGAAGTCCTGGACATGACGCGGCCCCTGGGGAGGTCGGGGAAGCAGCGGCGCAGTCAAGGCGCTGAAACAAGGACCGCTTCGGGTCCATGGCACACGTCCGAGCGATGCCACGTCTTTCTCTTCGTCGAGCAGTGCTGCCTTCCGACGACCGGCGTGCACAGAGAGCCCGCCCTCCGACGACGGGGCGCGCACGAGGCGCGGCCGCCTCCTCGCGCCCCTCGCAGCAAAACGCACACAGATGAAGCAAGAACGCGGCGCGGCGCAGCGCGGGAGCTCCGCCAGCGGATGGGGGGGGGGCGGGCGGCCGCTGGCATCCAGTCGGGCCTGCCCTCCTCCAGGGGGATTTTGGAGGAACCGTGAAAAACAGCCCGAAAAGTACCTCCACAAATGGTCCAACATACGTTCCAACATCGCCCCCTGGACTATATTTTGTTTAGACTCCTCTTGAAATTTTTCCTCCTGCAGAGGGACAGGCCCGACTTCACGCTGGCAGGGGCCGGACAGGCAGGGCAACAGCAACATCTCTCCTCCGCGTTTTTTTTGTTCACGCCGCTCGCTCCTGAGCTGAGCCGCTCGCTCAGTCCGCCCCTGTCGGCCGCGCCCTCCCCCCGCCCCTCCCCTTGCACTAGCGGCCTCCTAGAATCTAGGAGGCCTCTAGTGCAAGGGGACTAGTAGGACGCCTACTGGGACCCCATCTATAGGAGGCCTCCTAGAATCTAGGAGGCCTCCTAGAATCCAGGACGCCTACTGGGACCCCATCTAGGAACTAGATGGGGTCCCAGTAGATGGGGTCGGAGGATCTCGCTGCATCGCCGACGCATCGGAGGTACATCGCCGATGCATGGGCGATGCATCGGCGATGCGCTGGCGGCGTCGGCGATGCATCGGCGACGTCAGCGTGGAGAAATTTGGGCACCACATCGAGCCGCACGCCGATACATCGCCGATGCATCGCCGATGCGGCGGGATCCTTCGACCCCATCTACTCCGACCCCATCTAGGAGGCCTAGATGCATGGTGGCACAATTCGCTTGAACGGCATCCTTGTTGTTTAGGCACCCCATCGCCAGCGCAGACGTCCCCTGCCTAGGCGCCGACGCTAAACATCTTTTCGCGACGCTCAAGGATCTACCTGGTCAGTCCAGACCCGGGTCAGTCGGGCGTTGCATTATCCTGCAAGATCCTGCAGGATCCTGCGCCCAAGCCCGGGGCAGCGCGACCCTGGCCTGGCCCTGCTCGGGCGCGTGCTGATTGTGACCTACAGTCGGGGCGTTGACCTAAGGAACCCTAAATAAGGAACGAGGCCCCTAGTTTCCACAAGTTAAACTTCGATTTCATATCGAAAGCCTAAGGAAAACGTAAGGCAAGCTGCGAAACAATTAAGGAACACAGAGCCCCTCCCCAACGAAAAGGGTTCCTCCTTCAGGGCCCCGACGTAAATGGGGGGGAGGGGAACAGGACCCCAAAGGTGCACTTTCGGGCTCCTCTGGGGCCCCTGCCGGCTCCAAACGGGGCCCCCAAGTGGCCCTTGAGGGCCCTGCCCCCCCCCTTTAAAAGTCACCCCACATACTACCACCCGCCCGACCTGCAGGATCCTGCAAGATCGGGTGCTCTGGCCGACCCTCGTTTGCACGGACCCTCGTCTCTGGAGCCCTGAGACGCGAGCACGTCGAGGCGGCCAGCCCTCGGGATCGCTGTTCTGGAGGAGCCCCCAAAACGGCATCCACCACCACCACTGAGCCGAGCGTCCGGAGAGACGCGTGGGCAGAAGAGTGCGCGATTGGCAACTCTTCAGAAAAGTATGACTGAAAAGACATTACAGCGGCTGCTTGCACGCACAGGCTCAACGGCATAAGCATAGTTAAGCTTCCGGCGGTCCGCGCGGATTCCTTGATCTGCGCTGGACCCCCTCCCTGGCGCGCGGAGCGCGCCAGGGGCGGCGCCAGAGGCGCCGCCAGAGGGGCCCCAGCGCCGATCCAAGAAAATCCGCGCGGAGCGCAGAAAGTTTATGCCTGTGCTGTTTGTGGCTGTTCGGGGATGGACAGAACCCCCTTGAGACAAACGTGGCTTCGTGGAGACGACCCCGGGCCCAGGCCTGGCGGGCGCGAGTCTGGAAAATAGCGGCGCCGCGGCGCCCCCTCGAGAACCGACAACGGACAATTCGCTCATCGACGTGTCATTGTGGGTGGTCTGTCCACCCCCGAGCTCTTTCGGGTGTTTCTAAAAGTGCCCCTAGCCCAAGGTGCCCCCAGTTTTTCGCTCCATTTCTGAGCCCCTGGGGTCCTCTGGGCCTCGTGAGAGGTGCCCTGGAGGCCGCCTGGGCCAACCCGAGAGACCCTGGGGGTACCTTGGGCCAGGGGCACGTCTAACAACACGCGACTTTTCGATGCTCGGGGATCCCGGCACCGTGCGGCGGCGGCCCGCGCGGGGGCCTCGGAGAGGCCCCGGGAGCGGCCGCACGGGCGCGGCCCGCCCGCCCTCGCGCGAGCTTTCTTGGGGCCCGCGGCGGCCCGGGCCCGCCCGAGACGCCTTCGGAGGAGGGCTCCCCGGGCCCCCGGAAGGGGTACAGTCGCCCCGTACAGTCGGGGCGTTGACCTAAGGAACCCTAAATAAGGAACGAGGTCCCTTTTTTTCCACAAGTTAAACTTCGATGTCCGATCGAAAACATAAGGAAAACGTAAGGCAAGCTGCGAAACACTTCAGGAACGCGGAGCCCCTCCCCAACGAAAAGGGTTCCTTCTTCAGGGCCCCGAATGTATCGTGGACGCGCGGCACGGGTGCCCGTAGACGGGCGCGCTCCACGACTCGCACGGTAACTGCTCGCAAGTGGCCTGGAGCCCCGGCGGGGGATCTGCGATAGACTACATCAGAGCAGACATGTGTGTTTGCGGACGTTTGCGAGTAGGCACTCTGCGAGTAGTGGAAGCCGCTCGGTGAGCCAGGGCCTTGGGGGGCCATGATAGCGTTTTTCGAACGAGGCTGGCGAGCGACAGTCGCTAAGGGTGGGCCGGAGGGGCAAGGATGCAGGGGTGGCGTTCGAAAGTTGCTCATCCTTACCATGCGGGCTGACTGTACTGAAAAAGTGGGTCCGATGTCCAACGGCAAGTGTTGCTTGAAACCGACAACGGCCGCTGTTGAGCCAGGGGCCTTCTGTGTCAAGTGGACAACGCTTGCGGCGGCACGGACAGCGAGCCCTGCCCAGAATGGACAAGAACTGCTGTCGGCCTTCGTCACCATCCGATGCTCCAGAGACACGGGACCCAAAACTACGCGGTGACCCCGAATCCCCACTGACTCACTCCTTCGGTCCTGGTTTCAATACTGGGTTTCCAAACCATGACGATGCAGGCACCCCCGGAACGCCCTCGGCGATGCGCAGCTGCTGGAGAGCATCCCCATGCTTGGAGAACTGCCGATCGAACCTACAAAAACACCAAACAACATCGAACCTCGAGACATCCCTCGATGTCCAATCCCCACTGACTCGCCCTGCGGTGTCGTCACGACTAGAAAGAAGCCTCCCAAATGGGGTCCGAGCAGACAGGGTCGGAGATCGCGCAGCATTGCTGATGCATCGCCCATGCATCGGCGATGCATTGGCGACGTTGGCGATGCATCGGCGATTGCGGCGTGGAGAACATCAAGCTCCGCATCGAACCGCATCGCCGATACATCGGTGATGCTGCGCGATGCCACCGACCCCTACTTGGACCCCATCTGGGAGGCCTAGAAGTCGGCCGCGCGCACAAAGGGGTAATTAGGGGGAGGGGGGAAGGCTTCTTCGCAGGAGGCTGCTTCTTAACAGGCACGGGCCTTACGTCTATGGAGAAGGCCCGCGCCATCTAAGCAGGGGTGCTTCTAAGAAGCCTCCCCCCTCCTGCTACCCCCCTCTGCGGGTGGCCGACTAAAACACCGTTTATTCAGCAGGGACCGACCGTCCCGGCATTCCTATAGTCATACCACGAAATGTTTTTAGAACCCAAACATGCTCTAACAACAAAAACGATGCTCTTAGAACATTAACCCGATGGGTTAACACAGGACAGTCCCAGCCAGAAGTGTTCTAAGAACATTTCGTGGGAATCACAAAAGATTCTTAAAAAAGTCTCTGGTAGGCCCATAGGCGAGCTGGGACGCTTCGCCACTGCTTGAGTTCAGGAGGCCCCCCCCCGAGCTGTGGCCGAGCTGGGCCAGCCGGGCCGGGTGCGGCCAGCGGGGCGGGGCCTCGAACCGCTGCGTGCGCCGCGGGCGCGGCGGGGCCGAGGGCGCGGCGGGGCCGTGGCCCTCCATGGCGCCTCGGCGCCCCCGCGGGAGCGGAGCGGATCGACGCGGCAGGAGGAAACGTCGAGCTCCGCCGCGCCTTGAAGAGGAAGCTCCACCCTTCGGGGGGGCCGCAGAAGGGCGGCGCTCTCGGAGCTCCAGATCAGTCAGGGCAATATGCTCATGCCGCCCGGCCCGGCGGACAGGAACCGCTCAGGCCCCGACCATCCACCCCGTGCGGGGGCCGAGGGAGGAAGGGGGCCCAGACCTCCAACGTGTGGCAGAACTCCGCACACGGCCTCCTCGTGGCAGCCTGCGGCCTCCGGTGGCCCTCGCCAGGCGCCGCGGCCGCCAGAAAACGACTCGGGCCAGCCCTTCGAGAGCGGCAAAGAGGGGGGTGTCCAAGAGGGGGGGTGCAAATCATGACCGGCGGCATGTGCGCGGCCCAGCGCGGGGGCCAGGGACGCAATGAAATAAGAAGGGGCGCCATGAAATCTGGGGAAATATCATGGCCCCCGCCATGATATCCACCCCCCCTAGTCATCACCCCCCTCTTTTCCGCCCCCGAGCCCTGGGTGCAGGGTCGGGACTGGAGGGAGCCCCGCACGGAAGGGATCAATCCATCGGATCTCTTGGGAGGGGAGGAAAAAGGGGGCACCCGAGATCTGGGCGCCGCCACGCCGGTCGCGCCGGGCATTCTCGCCCTGTCTCTGGCCCCCCGGGGCAGGTGGCCCTAGCTCGAGAGATGCCGCGGAAAGGTTGGGTCTGGGGCTCCGGTCGTGATCTTTGCGATGGTGCAGTTTTGCCGTGACGTCGGAGCTCAGGGGAGGAGGGAAGAGAGGAGGGAAGAGAGGAGGAGGAGGAGGAGGAGGAGGAGGAGGAGGAGGAGGAGGAGGAGGAGGACGATCGTTAACATCAGCCGTGGAGCAGCCCGCATACTCCAATAGAGGTGGGCGGATCCTCTGAAGGGTCGAAGTCTGAACACCAGAATAGACTGAAGAAAGTGGCTGGCGCAAGCTTCATGAAAGGCCGCCGATCCGATTAAAAACGAGCAGAACAGCGGCGGCCGATGCCAAAGGCACAAGCCTGCGCTCTCTAAGACGGCTCGACCTGCCTCATAAAAGCCACGAGGGCACTTGATGAGCAGATGGCAGAACAACCAACCACATCGAGTCAGTCGGATCCTTAGCTGGAGCCATCCCGGTGCCAGGCGCCTCCTGCTGCAACTGTACAGATTCGGGCACCTTGTCGCTTTGCCCCGCTCGGGGCTCGAGCAAACCCTGCGAGGATTCCTCACTCGGCGAGGCGCCCGCAAGACGCGTCCCCAGGAAAACACCGACCTTCTTTGGGTGACGTCCCTGGGAAGTGAGCTTCCATGAATGCAACCTGCCTGCCTTCTGAAGGGCCGCATGGCTTCCTCAAAACGCGGACCTGGCCACGTGAGGTGTAGAGCTTGCACTTCACACACAAAAATGAAACGGCGCTCGCTCGCTTCAACAAACAGCATGTTTTGGCCAAGCTCTCTGAACTCAGGCGCATCACGTCCTCTGATGCCGATCCCGATTTCACTCTTGCAGGTCCCAGGGCTGGGTTTCGAGACCGATCTTGATCCTCTGAAGCAACAGTCTGAACCACTCCGCTTGTGGCAAGAAGTAGTAGGCTTTGACGCTGAGTGGCACTGATGTAGCTGGGCCTCTGACACATCCGACTTTGGCGGCATCGGCAAACGACTTGCAGCGAGCTCGCAGACAAGATTTGAACTATGCACTCTGAACTCTGGCCACTGTTGCTGCCTTGACATGGCTGAGAGCGCCATCCAGCTATAACCAAGGGCCACCAGCGCCATTAGCTTGCCCGTGGTATTGTTCCGCAAGGGGTAAGGGTCATCCTTCTGGTGCCCTCTGCCTTGCGGGGAGGAAGAGAGGAGGAGAGGAGGACGGGGAGGAGAGGCGGAGGAGAGGAGGAGGAGAGGAGGAGGAGGAGGAGGAGGAGGAGGAGAAGGAGGAAGGAGGAGGCGGAGGCGGAGGCGGAGGAGGAGGAGGAGGCGGAGGCGGAAGAGGAGGAAGAGGAGGAGGAAGAAGAAAGGAGGAGGAAGGAGGATCACCAACGAACGAACGACTCTGCAGAGGCGTGTCAGCTGATCCCGCGGCCTCGCGGGGCAATTAAATTCAACGGCAGAAGATTTCCTGGGCTGGCTCGCTTCTAGAGGGCGCTGTGATGTGACGTTACTCATCACGCGTGGCACTCGGTGCACTTGTGCTCCCACCCACCCCCTAACCTCGGCTGAAAGCCCGCGTTCTAAAGGCTGGGCACGGCCGTAAGGTCAGGGGCAGAGAGGAGGAAAACGAACGGCGTCGGGGACCGCCCTAAACGAGTGGAAGTCCCCCGACACACGAAAATCAAGTTAAAGTCAACGAGACTCGGGCAATCTACGGCCAGCGGGCCAACACAACAACTTAAACCGATAATCATCTGGGAGGTCTCTGGAGCCCCAGGAGGCCCAGGATAGCACTAAAAGGGAGAAGAGGCGTCGAAGAGGAAGCGGAGGTCGGCTCAGCAGCGGCGGCATAATTTCTAGGCCTAGACGAACTCGCGGAGGCGGGAGTCGCCGCGCAAAGTCCACTAGAGGCCGTAGGGACAGAGCTCGATTGCCTCCGGGTTCTCGTGGATCTCATGCCCGTTGCCGTAGAGAGTGCCATCGTCGATCCAATCGTGACCGAAATAATCGGGGACACGGCACTCTGTGTCGGTCGGGCAGCAATTACTGAGGACGGTGCCGTCATCTGCGGTGAAAGCATTGTAGACCGATATTCAAAAACAACCTGCGATCTGACTCTTGCTTGTCTCGAAGCGATTTCCACAGAGGGGGTCGGCTCAGAGAATTCTAAGGCCCCCGTACCACTGAAGCATGCGTGGGCACCGTCTGTGACAGGATTGGGGACCATCTCATCATGGCGCACCCTCGAGACAAGCGAGCAGTTTTCCTCAACGCGCGAGGTCGAATCCTGATGTAGGTCACTCAGCGGCGAAGGAGAAACAACAACCTGCTGCTGGGACTCTGATTGCATTCCAATGGTTTGCCAACCTTCGCTCGCGCCAGAGCTCGGGGCAACTTGCTGCCATGGTCTCTTTGCCGCCTCTAAGAGCCGTGCTACTGATTCGTGTCGAGATGCAACCGCAGAATCCGTGAGTTGTGACTGCGAGAAGGGGCCCCGCGCTTGTGTACTCCTCCGAACTGCACCAAGGCCTGCACCACAATATCCTCCATGCCCGTCGCTTTGGCCGCGATTCAGACCTTGACTTTGCCCTGTGCATGCGTCGTCTGGAGCCTGCAATGCCGAACCAAATGTGCTAGGTCGCCCGTTGAGCAACTGCTCGTGATTGGGCTTCTCTTGGTAGTCCTTGAGCTTGGTTGCGCTCGTCTGCCCTACTTTGTCTCCTTGAGCCACGAGCGCGCCGATGAGTGAAACCAACGCGTGTGGATGTGGTATCCCGAGCTCTTCCAGCTCTGGAACGAGTTGCCTCCTGGCGGTGATTGCGGAGCCTCTTGGCCCCCTACCCGTAGTAGCGCGCTGCGGGCATCATCGACTGCGGCGCGTCGAGGCCGGTCGGAGGCTGGGCGCGGCGAAAGATGGCTGACCCCACGAGCCCGAGTCGACGTTCGTGCCCAAGTGCCATCCTCATCAAGATGAGCGTCATCGCCTGCGCCCGCTGGATCGGCATCGTCTGCGCGTCGGTGAGGTCTCCCTCGCGTAGACCGAAGTGGTTGTCGGTGGCGGCCCAGACGTCGTTGAGCGCAATGGCGTGCTGGGGCCTCGCCGCCTGGGGCCCCCCAGGAGGGGGCTGCTGGGGCTGGGCCCGCGGCCCTGGGCCACCGCGGCGACCTCGATCTTCGCCGCGGGTCCGATCGCCGCGCCCAGCGGCGAGCTCTCCGCGCCGCTGCTCCGCCCCAGTCGCGAGTGCCCTGGTTCGACATCCATCGCGAGGTCGGGTGGCGGTGGGGCGCGAACTTCTCGGGCGCGTGCCTGAAGCGCCTGTGGACTTGGAAACTCGCCTTGAGCCAGTGCGTCTCCAGACCGGGATTCACGGAAGGCCTCGTGCACACACTCTGGGTCCACGCAGATCGGGCAGCGCGAGTCGTCGGGCGCTCTCAGCGGGGGTGAGTGCGCGCTGTAATCTGTCAGGCACCTGCGACGCTTCAACGATTGCACAACATGTCTCTTGGCAAGCACCGCAGACGAGAAGATGGACGAGCAACGGCAGTACTGGTTAGCCACCACGGGCCGATGCATAGGTGCCCTGATCTTGCGGGGCGGGCGGTGGCACTGGTGCGCTCGCAAGGCCGCCCTGGCGTAGAAGACCTGGCCACGGGGGCCCCCGCCGTCGCTTGGGAGCTCACCGTAAGACTCTTGAGGGGGACCTTCAGGGACTGGAGGAATATCAGGGGCACCTGGCGCATGGAGTTCAGAGGGTAGCTGAAGGGGCCCATTGCGAGCCTGCTCGCAAGTGGCCTAGCGGAAGTCCCTAGCGTCTATGCTCCTAAAGTGTGCAGCGACTCTAAGATTAGTGATTATATATTTGGTGCCATGGCCCTTGTCTAAGAAGTATTTCCCATGGGATGGCCTCAAGGAGCTTCGCATCTCTCTGCAACTGTTGGGCCCGCGGATTGGCACCAGGTCGGATCCAGGCAGAGGGGGTGGGCGTCGAGGATTCGCCAAGCGCCTTGAACTGCCCTCAGAGAGCCGCAAATACCTGCGCGGAATCTTCTGGATGAAACGCCAGACGCCACCAAAAACCGAGACGACGAATCAACAGCTCGGCCCCAGCATCTGCGACCCGACTCGTCATGCATCAGCCGCGCCGATCCGGTTCGCAAACGATCCCCGTCAGGGCCAGCATGACGAGCGACCCCTCGAAGAGCGACCGTTGCAAACCCCAAGGTGACCGAGCCCAGCTTCGCAGAGCCCGGCTTCCCCAGAATGTAGCCCTCGAGGCCCGACGGGGGCAGCGCCGTGGATCGCCCCCGAGAA